TTCTTTCCCCTGCCTGTTCCTAAATTGTATCCTAAGTGACCCTACTCAACATTTTGTTCCGCCATATATCTCAACCGTAATGGAGACGGGCAAAACATCCATCCCCTCATGCAGCTCCATCTATTCCCTCCAGCTGCAGCACAAGGCCTGAAGCAACTTACCCTTGGATTCACCTTTTTCCTGTCTTTTCTTTTGTTTTTATTTACATAAAAAAAAATTGGACTATTTCTCGATTTATGCGTGTCATCCTTGCACAGGGGCCATGGCAATCTTCTCTGTATCGTTCAAAAATGCAAAGAAAACTCAGAAAAGAAACAAAAGAAAAGACAGCAACCTCATCCAACGGTTTTAAACAGTAGGACGAGTGTTCACTCGAAATTTGACGAGTTGTTTCTTCTACTCGGGAAACTTCCTTGTTCAAATCAATCGCCCTGCTGTATGTATGGAGTTTTTATCCCTTCTTGGACATACTTTGACAACAAACAAGTGGTTCCTTCAAGTCCTATCCTTCACTTTTCAATTTTTGTCCCCTCTCCAGTCACAACTTGTACCCAACTGAAATCATGCACATAATCATTTTCTGACAGTACAGGACCAACTTACTTATGTTGAACGAGCGGTGTCGCCTTCAGAATCAGAGTTTGTCAGTCACTCAGAGAGAGAGAGAGAGAGAGAGAGAGAGAGAGAGAGAGAGAGAGAGAGCGGTGAGTCACCACCATGAAGTTCCCACTTCCACATCCCCAACCTTCCGCCTTTGCCTGTGGCTTTCTGGCCCATCTCTATCTCCCCCATCTTCTCCCTATATCCTGGACATCTCAAGTTGGTTTCTATATTCTTTCTATTTTTGACTCACCTGTGGACGTAATTGCTGTTAGCGACATCGTCCGCTAGCCATAACTGTGGTCGCAGGCATGCATGAAATTTCTAGTGTGAGTAGGCCCTAAAACTTTTACTAAACTTGAGCAAACGCTCTGAAGGCTCAGGGAATTATTTCACGTACATCCGTGCATGAACCAAGGCCGGAGCAGACGGACAGCTATGCTGGCATAGGAGAACCACTTTTCACATATATGCGGGAAACCTTGGTTGCAACACAGAGGCCCTACAGTAGCTGCGGGTGCCTAAACCATTCGACCCCCTGAAAGCATATAAGCGGGAAACCCAGGTTGGAACACAGACCCTAAAGTAGCTGATCAGTTTGGGGAGTGACTACCCTCTTCCCCCGAACACAACGCACCCTCATTCTGACTGTATCTGGCCGGAAACATACCTTGTACACTTTCCTTTTCAGGGTGCGTTACGTTCGGGGGAAGACGGTAGTCGCTGCAGCACCTTAAACCGGGCGACTTTGGCAATGGATCAGATGTGAAGAGTCTGCTTTGGCGAGTGAAGTGAGGGCAGACTCACACGAGGACCAAAAGTTTCAAAATTTTGAGGCATATGGGTAAGGCCTATTTGGGACTTTAGGTCCTCGAGTGGTCCCACGGGTGGATTTCATCAAAAGGACGAAGTCGCGGCCCTGACACTTCGCCCTCGGGGATCGTGACATAACTTAATTCTTTTGTTTTCAAGTGTGTGTAGTCACACAGGTGAGGACTTAAAAAGTAAAGGAATTTCTTTTTTATTTTACATGCCAAAATAACCTAAAAAAGTAGATGGATTTGCAGTAACCCGTGTTCCGCAGCAGTCTGGGGGCCCGAAACTGCGCCCAGACGACACAGGCCAAACACGGTCTGCGCCAGGCAGTGCGACCACGCACTGCCCACTGGAAAGTCAAGGGTCCAAGTCAACTGTCAGGTCAAAGGTACCGCGCCCAGGCCCTTGGTCGGATACACTCACTTGTTGTGCGCAGGTACCCAGACAGCATCAAGGACACGGGGAATTCTGTTGCAGGCCAATCTGGGCCGTCATTTGCATTGAGATTTCGATGGCCGAGGGATGCAGCACCTGGGGTCCAGACCCTGCATCAACGCTACATAAGCATTGACCTCCTCGCTTCGAGGGACATTCTGTCTTGCATCAATGCTGACTTCGTGCGTTGACAACGATGCTAGCACGACGCTGCGACGCTGGCTCTACGCTGGCAACTGGGCGAACTACAATGACGCTCTGCTGGCTCGGCATGGTGGCTGGCTTGGAATCGTCTTCTGAGCATGCTGACGTGGCAGCTGCCGCGCGCCGCCGCGCACGTGGCCGCTGCCACATATATTATTATTGTTGACGTGGTGAGGCTACGCGACTGGCATTGCTGTTCTGTTTCGACGACATTCAAGAGGAGATCATGACTGTGGGGCGATGGTGGATACGTACCTGGTTATCTTGACGTCGACATTGCTCCAGCTCGCTGATGAGGACTGATTGACATGCCACGTGGCACATTGTGATAGAACTTCAGTTGCTCATTCAGATTAGTGATTATTGAGGTGGTGATCGACGAGGGAGCCCGAAGCAGAAGCGGGCATTGTCTTTTATTCTTCTTCAAAGTCTAATCTCCCTCCTCTGTCCTTCGCCTGTGTATGATTTTCCCATCTCATTCTATCTGGACACGATTATGATTATTGATAATCGTCAGCAGGTTGATATTCATCTGGGCTTGCATTGTTGACAAGTGTCTTCAGACTCTTCACGATCCGGATTCATTGCAGATTGATTTTTTTTTATTTTTTTTTTTACACGCCAAAATAGTGCATGCCACTGCGTGGGCCTTCGCTGCAACGTACATGGGCCTCGCTGCACGACTCTCCAAATGTGCAAAATGAGACTGAATCCACCGCTGGAACATGGAAACATACATTGCCATCGTTTTTGTCTTTTGTGCATGTTAAGAGTAGTGCCGCGAGGCCCCGCCGTACTCCCGCTTCAGCGCACTCCTCCAGAGAAGTGAAGTCCCACTTGGGCCACTTCAGCATCTCGTCGCCCGTCCAGTTGTTTGGTGGGTTGATTTCTTCGTTGGTGATATTTTGCAATTAGGTAACACTGAAAAAAAAAAGTCGAAACTTCTCGAAAGGACATTTGAGACCACCTCTGGAGGTGGCCTCCAAAGGGGTCCTCCTGCGGCACAGCAGGCCGCTGACAAAAGGGTCACTGTTCGAGACGTTTGGGTAGCAGGCCTCTCCAATGTGACCCCAAAAGTGGCTCAAATTTTGGGATTTAAGGTCATCAGGTCCCTGTGTGAGTATGCCCCGAGTCCCAGGATTACCGTAAAAGAAGTCCATAAACCAATCTATGAATCTCAAGTCTCTCGTCTAGACCCACGCAAAGTGGAGGCCGCCTGAGGCCAAGGCCACAATTTCCTACCTCAGTATGCACTACAAGTCTTACAAAACCTGAGAACATACCTCAGGTTCAGTTGCCAAACAATAGATGCGAATTCATCCAGCTCCCGCAGATTCAGCAAACGTACCTGTCTTGTCATTAGGCCGAATGGTTGAAACTCGAAAGTACAACGGAATATAGACTCTGATCCAACCTTCTATACTTGTCACACCTCAAACTCCCTATCGTAACCAACCCAAATACCCTAAGCTCAACTCCTCCCGAGGAGCAAGGCTGTAGGAGCCATGGCAAAGTCACATCTCTCTCTCTCTCTCTCTCTCTCTCTCTCTCTCTCTCTCTCTTTCACTGTGTGTGTGTGTATGCCAGTAACCATGGCAAAGTCACAACCCTCTCTCTCTCTCTCTCTCTCTCTCTCTCTCTCTCTCTCTCTCTCTCTCTCACTCACACACACACACACACACACACTCACACACAGACACACACACACACACACACACACACACAGCCCTCTCTCTCTCTCTCTGTGTTTGTGCCAGTAGCCATGGCAAAGTCACAACTCTCTCTCTCTCTCTCTCTCTCTCTCTCT